ATTTGTAGAGCAGACTTAGTGTATAGCACACTGAACAAAAATATGAACGCTTTTGTTTTTGCTCCCACTTTTCATGAGCTGAACTCAAAGATCTGAGACTTTTTCTATGTACACAAAAGGCCTGTTTCTCTCAAATACTGTTGACAATTTGTCTAAATCTGTGTGAGTGAGCACTTCTCCTTTGCTGAGATAATCCATCCACCTCACAGGTGTGGCATATCAACATGCCTGATTGTTGCACAGGTGTGCCTGAGGCCCATTGTTTCATTCATGCACATCATCGCCTCATGTTGCGGTGCGATAATGCACGGCCCCATGTTGCAAGGATCAGCACACAATTCCTGGAAGCTGAAAACATCCCAGTTCTTGCACGGCCAGCATACTCACCGGACACGTCACCCAGTGAGCATGTTTGGGATGCTCTGGATCGGCGTATACGACAGCGTGTTCCAGTTCCTCCAGTGACTTTGCACAGCCATTGAAGAGGAGTGGAGGACACAATCAACAACCAGATCAGCTCTATGTGAAGGAGATGTGTTGCACTGTGTGTGGCAAATGGTGGTCACACCACATACTGACACAATAAAAGGCCACTGTGGCCAGCCTACGACCAACTACAAACTGTGCGATAAGTTCACAGCTAGCTGCACAGTACAACATGAATCTAATAAACTTTGGACACGACATAAAGTTTCGGAATTGCAGCCTGCAATGTATGCGAGTCGACGTGAATGCGCAAGAATAAAACGTATTAGCAGGCGCCATCCATCCATCCACTAAAAAGAAACTAGCAAAGCATAAGCAAAGCCCTCACCCTTGTGGCATTTATGTGTTTGGAGATAAATCCCCAAAAATAAAGAAGGAGGATAATATGTGGCTCGGAAAGAGAGGCCAGTTTTGCAAAGGGAGCTCGTGTCGCGCTGATCAGTTTGGCATTTTACACTGCATTTCTATTGGTTAGTTAGTTGACGTAGGTCGCAGCAGCAGTCACACTGTGAGATCATCACCCCAAATTTCTGACACTGTCAGAATTTTATCGCAGGTTGTCTTTGGTCGTCCATGACAACGGTCGTCCTTGAACCTGTCTCACAGTGCGACGTAGGACCACCGATTTAGAGCCAAGACCAAAGATATCACCAAGGCTCTCTCATGATTGTTATCTTTCTTTTGGGACGGCCGAAAATCACACAGTGTGTAGCACGATCAGCTCATCATCAAGCTCTGCAGAAGCCTGATAACGATCCTGATCATGTGAATCAGGTGTGTTGGAAGAGGGAAACATCTAAAACATGCAGGACTGTGGCCCTCGAGGACCAGGATTGCCCACCCCTGGTTTAGGCGCACCTGTGCAACAATCATGCATGTTGATACGCCACACCTGTGAGGTGGATGGATTATCTCGGCAAAGGAGAAGTGCTCACGAACACAGACAAATTGTCAACAGTTTTTGAGAGAAACAGGCCTTTTGTGTATGTAGAAAAAGTCCAGCTCATGAAAAATGGGAGCAAAAACAAAAGTGTTGTCTTTATATTTTTGTTTATTGTATTTTAAAAGGGGATTTCACTGCATTCTTCAGCATTTAAACACACACACTACATACAAAATGTACTAAAAACCCACTCTGGAACAGACAACGAGTGAGTAATCAGTAAATCTTCATCAGCAACAAGCAAACCAACACACTCTGCTCTGCAGTGCCGTCCACACTGAAGAGCTCAAGTGTTCACAGGTGAGCTCTCCGAGGTAAAAGCGTCCGGGCCGGGCCGGGCCTTCCTGAAACGCAGCAGGAACAGGAAGGACTGTTGTCAGGCGTATCGGCACTTCTGCCGCGGTTGTGGTATTGCAGGTGTTTTCACTTATTTCTCCTGATTAGTGTGCGCTGGTGTGTATAAACTGTCATTGATCTACATGTACTTCCCCTCCCCTGAAGCAAATTATGTCCATAATATTATTGTTAGTACGTGAAGCTTGATCTCATATTCCCAGCATGGCAAACCCGGGCAGAGGTTTAATCAGCCGCAGTAACTGAAAACACCTGCGTGGTTGTCGGGATTAAAAGCCTTTATGCGCGCTTTACATTTAGACAGGTTTTATTAGCCACATGTCAATTACTTCTGGGAACAAAAGGCTCAAGTGTGGGTTTTTTTTTTTTTTTTTAAAGTGTAATGAGGCTCCACGGTGTAATTATGAAGCCCAAGAAGACCATATAAAGTAGCACCTAACCCTCGTTTCACAGCGGGGTTCGCATCAAGATAAAAGAGTATTATGCCTGCTCTGAAATCTACCTAACAGTTAATAATTTATTCTTTTTCACATTTTTATTCAGCGGCATATTGCCTTTCACACAGCCCCAGCACAACCTCAGACCTCAGCGGCTGCACTAAGCTGCTTGTTTGAATTAGCCGAGATTTTCCTCATTTAAAGTAAATATTGTTGTGAAATATTTGCTCTGCACTCAGGATTCAAATTTCTGATGTTTGACTATTTGTTCCTGTTCCTTAACAACTAGATTTCAAACTATGAGTCAGCTAATTAATAAGGCCATCTGTGGAAAAATAAAAGCAACAGTTTTGAAAATGTGTTCATTGTTTTAATAATTTTTCATATTTTATTACATTTTGGACAAAACAGGTGAAGTGAAGATTGGTTTGGGCTTCAAGAGAATTTCCTTCAAAGTGTATTTGGTTTTTTCTGCATTTTTTTAGACAAACCAAATCAAAGTACATCAGTTATTTGAAAAAAAAAAGCCACATTAGATCTGAAAAATGATGGGAAAAGCAGAGCAAAGCATAGCAGTAGCATATTAACAATGGAAAAAATGATTAAATTAAATCTAATAAATAAATAAATAGCCATCATAGAGGATTCTTCTTCTGATTAATACTACTACGACTACGACTCATAATAATAATAATACTTCCAACAACAATAGCAGTAATCGTAATACATGTACAAAGTTCCAGGAACAGAGGAGTGTAAAGGAGGCGTCTAATCTTTATCGCTTCTTCTCCTTCGTCAGTATCGGTTTCCCGGTTTACTCAACTCGATGACACGTATTTTTTTATGAAACTCTTTGTTTCCTGACATTTAAAACATCCAAATTATGCACGAATCTGGGGGCGCATTAAGCTACAGCATGGCTAATGAGAGAACAATAACAGCAAAACAGCAAACGATCAGTGCTGAGCCGCAGCGTCATTAAAAACACGGTGAGATGGATGCTCTGTGAGGAAGCAGATGCTCTGCAGGGTGGGACTAAACACTGATTATGTTCACATCCTAACTGTCAGTCCCTGCGCGCTCAGCTACATCCAATCGGCAAAATG